ACTCTCCCGTGCGCGGGGGGCCCCCGGGGCGGGTAGTTGCGGGTGCACTTGGTGGCGTTACGGAACGGAAAAGTTTATCAGACACGCTGACGAGACACACGGTCTAGACACGAGCCACCGCTTCGATCGGACCAACGCCACGCTTCCGGTCGAGCTTGCCCAGACGACAAAGTGCGCACCTAGACGTCGTCGGCGATGTACTTAGGTAAGATATCGGTCAGCACAAAAAAAACTTCCACGCTTTAAAAAGAAAATATTGAGTTGACTTGGTCAGTTGGTCAGTCCAAGTCGCACATTCTCGCTATCGGGCCCATAGTCGACGGCAGCAGCAGCAGCAGGTGCAGGGCGGCGAAAGTGTGTCAAACTGTCAAAACGAGTCTCTAGCGGTTCTGGCGCGCAAAACTCGGCCTGGGCGTCGTGGAGTGGCGTGGAGGAGCCGTCAGCAGAACACACACACTCTGCTCGGATCACGACACGTGCGGTGCCGCGGAGCCACGCAGGCGCCTCGTAAAATCCCGACTCCTAGACGCGGAACTCATTCAGGCTCTCCTTGAGCAGACAGAGGCTGGACAGGACGGGACGAGCCGCGCCGGCCTGGAGGAAGTGGGTGTGCCAGTAGAGTGCCACTGCAGAGTGAATGTGTGCCAGTAGAGTGCCACACCGCGGCGCGAGCGACTGTAACGTACAGTGCGCGCGGCACTGTTTGAACCGCGTGGTCAGCCAGCAAATGATACTATCTTCAACTCACTCTCTGACGGGTGCCAGTCATCGCATTGACCAGTTCGAACTGCTCGAGCCTTCCTTAGAGGTCAAATTTGTCACATTTGACGCACACGACGCCTTCTCCGCTTCTTCCTCCTCTAACTATACCGCCCATCCCATAGCTCCGCTCGACACAAGTCCGCTCCAATTGTAACGTGTACAGCCTCGCGCACGAGCGCGTTTCTCGGAAGTGGTTCACGCCCGCCGCGCCTGATACTAGACATGTAGTGGGGTCGCGCCGCGAGGAACGCAAACGCGCTGATTAAAACCGGAACTCCATCCGCGCCACGACACCGACCAGCAGCAGCGGCGGCCGAGTGCAGTTGCAGTCCGCCAGCGCATAGGCCGCCGCGCGGCTCCGGCTTGGCTCGGCGAAACAGAATCCATCCTCACCTCCCATCCACCACACACCACCCCGCGCGCTCTCCTCATCTTACACTTTCACAGCCTGTCAATAACATTCTATGGAATTCCCTGAGGTTGCAGCTCGGCGGTGATAAGGATTCGCTCGCTCACGGGGCTCGCCATCAGCTTCCTCTCAATGAGCTTAGTCTTTGGTAAAGCTACTTAGTCACAGCAGATAGGTAAATTTTCAATTTTAAACATTGATTTTTTTCTTCGAATTGCTTACGCTCAAACAAGAATATAAATTTTAAATCAACCCCCCACCCCCTTTCCAGTCAAAAAATAATGGAATTTTAAGATGAAATTTTTAAATGAAAATTTCAACTATTTTATTCATGTTTCCCCCATTGGAACTCACCCCCGACGTCACTCTCGACATTCTTACCTGTCTTTGGCTTCGGGGAGGGGGGCGGCGTGTTGGCGGGCGAGAGGGCCTTGGACTTCCGCAGGCGCAGCCAGCCCCACTTGGTGCGGAACTCGCTGCAGAGCAGGACGACGCCGAACAGCAGCAGCGCCACCAGATCCACGGCGCTCAGCATCCTGCGGGCAACAAGAGAGAAGGTGTGTTCACAGCGTGCAGACAGACGGGCGACGCCGGTCAGCCAGAATCACGGAAAACGGCGGGGAAAACACAGGAGGAAAAAGACGGTCCATACGCCTCACCGTGAGAACGGGAGGGCGGGGCGAGGCGGGGCGCGGCGCGGCGGGGCGCGGCGACCGCGACCTCCGCTCTGCTGTGAGGCAGGTCCGGATCAATGGCTGAGCCAGCGCGCGAGCCGGCGGGCGGGGCGGGAGCCGCGGGATGGACGCGCGCGCGGAGCCTCGCGAGAGAGTTTCGCGACTAGAGTGACCGCGCGTCGCATAGGCGACAGCGGGCGACACATGGCGATTTAAGCAGAGTGGGAGGACCTCGCGAGTCAGTCTGCCGAGCTGATAGTGGGGCAGGTCGTGAGGGCGACGCGCGGCACGGCCGCGGGGCCGGGAGCCCGGCAATCGACCGGCAGACAGACCACACGCGAAAAAATACAGAGACCATACCGCGTTAATTTGTTGTAATACTGGTATACTGCTTGTTTTGCGTGTTACAATATTTTGCCGAGAATTTTGAAACGTATGCGATTCCATTCTCGATAATATAGAAAAGAGGGCGCTCTTCAGAGCGGTTGACGTTGCGGCCGGCCGCTCGCGGTGTGTACCACCGCAGACTCGAATGTACTGTACAGTCCAGTGCCTGGTCCCCATCACGCACTGGGAACTTGACGAGATGTGATGCAAGAGAGTCGGATCATCGGACATGCACACACACACACACACACACAGTTAATGAATGAAAAGTGACAGCGAGAGGAGTCCGCGGTCCGATCCGCCCGGCGGACACCGCGGCCACGCGCAAAGCCGCGCCTTATAGCAATCGCCCCAAAAGTGCCTCAAAGTGGAGACGAGTAACCACACTTATCATGTCGTGACGGAGGGGGCACCGGCTAGGTGCGCGGCGGCGTGGCGCGGCGCGGCGGCGCTCTAGGCGGCTCTAGGAAGACCTTGGCCTTGGGCCTTGGGAGAGAGGAGAGGACGAGGACTAGACGAAGGAGACGAGGCGCGGCAGGTCGTCGTCGCGTGGTGCGGACGACGCGGAGTGGTGGAAACGCGTGGCCAGTATAGTCGGGCATCTATGGAGGAGAGTGTCCCGCCGCACACACAACCCTCCTCGCCAAGGAGGACGGGGAAGGGAGGAGGCTGTATGGGCGGATTGCGTCCGGTGCCGCCGGGCTGTGTGCGGCGGAGACGTGACCGGGACAGACCAGAACGATCAGGCCCTCCTCGTGTCGTGCCTCATCGTGCTCATGGGCCTTGATTGATTTAGCAGCCCGACTACTGCCCGTCTGCAGCCCAGTCTCGCAGCGCAATCAGCACGGGGTGCGGGGAGGGGAGAGGGCGTCCTGGTTCGACTTATGAGAGAGTGACCGGCGGCCGGCGCTATTCTCGTGTAATCTGAAAAGAAAACGACAACACGGGGGTCGGCGTCATCCTTTTCCTCTTGGTAGAAGTTATGATAAAAACCATCTGCGAGAATAACGACTTTCGCGGCTGCTGGAGAGGGGCGCACTTACTTATGGAGAAGGGACGCGGGGACGCGGGGCAGAGCGAAAGAAAGGTGAGCGAGATTGAGCGCAGGGCCGGGCTAGCTGAGGGTGGCGTTATTGTCCAGAGCGACGCCCGTCCATCCGACATCGGAACAAAAGGCGAGTAGAGGAGCGAGCCGAAATCGGAGCACACAGCAAAAAGGCCTATGCTTCGTAAAGGAAAGAGGGAAACCCGACGCCGATACGATGACCGACGCCCCTCTGCTGGTCCCCCACGCCCACCACATTCACCGACCCCGAGAGATACACGAGTTTTTGCCAGATTTGCAGAGTTCCTTCGGCCTGGCCGGGTCACGAACAGTCGAGAATAGGCGCGAATAGGTGTCGGGTAGAATCGCAGTGTCGTGGCGAGCGTGGGAAACTATGGAAGCAGCCTGCTCGCTGGAAGCAGAGCAGGTCAGCTCTTCGAGTCCACAGATATTTTAGATTATTTTCTTAGTGCCGGTTTTAGGCGTTTTAAAAAGTGTTTGCGGTAATTTTTGGAGGTGGATTTATTTTATATAAATTCCTTGAACTTTATGGAAGAAATAGAAAAATAGAAAAATAGGAAAAATTGGAACGTTACTACGAAGACTGTAAACGTTTGCTAGGAAAGGTCTGAAGAGGGTCTTTGCAGCCAGGTCCCCATTCTGCGGCTCACGCAATACAATATGAAGATCACGCCAGCGCGTCCCCCGGGGCCCCCGGGCGCTCGCTGCGGTGGCGGGGCGGCGTGCGCTTTACGCAAACTTTTCCAAGAAACTTGGCCAAATGACCGGACCCCCGACCGTGCCGGGCCGGGCCGGGCGGTGCCGGGGGTGGTGCCGGGGCGGCGCCACGCCCCGGCACACACACAGAGCCCCATTATGAGCAGCAGTGCCAGTGCCAGCCTCTCTTCTGATACAGCTGACGACTGATCCGCCCCGGCCGGGCCAGTTCGCTACGGCCGGCGATTAGGCTGGTTACAGACGGTAATAGCCCTATCGCCATCGCCCGCCCCGAGCCGGCACCACCACCACCATAAGGTCTCGGTAGCGCGGCGGCAGCAGCGCTGCGAGGGATTGGACTGGAATGCCGCCTCACTTGCTATCGCCGAAAAACCACAAAAACGCAACGACAGACGACTCTGCAGCAGGAACAAGACCCCCTGCGCTGCGGGGAAGGTTCTCTAGCTCGGCGTGGTACAGCGAGCAGCAGTGGACACTCCGCGTCCGCCCCATGTCCAGCAGTAGCCACCACCTGCTCCGGGACGGGACGGCGCGCCCTCCGCTCCGCGCGGCCCCGCCCAGCCGTAGTAGCCGCCCGGCAGGTGTCGCAATCCCTCCCTCCGCCAGCCGCCAGCCACCCGCCGCCAGCCACCCGCCGCCTCATCAGCTCAAACTTAAAATGTATTGCGCATTTCCTGCCATTTCTGCCAACCTCACGACATACCACAGCGAGCGGCGCTGGGCGCGCGCAGGCGGGCGCACAGCGCACACCGAGCGGCGGCCACGACGCGGCGGCGACCCGGGCGACATACCTTTAGGGAAGACCACGCAGCCGCTGAGGTGGGGTAAATTGGTTTCTTTTTACTTCTCGTTGCGTTTCTGTTGTAAGTATGTGTATTCGCGGTCGAGAGGCAGCAGACCACCGCTCACCACACACGGACGTTGCACGACTGAATGATAAAAACATACGCCGCGGGGGGCGACGCGGGGCGGGGCGGGGCGGGGCGTGCGCCTGGTGCGCCCCTGAGGCGGAGGAAGGCAGATACGGGGCGACACCACCGGCACTTTCGCTGTTTGTTCCAGATAAAAAATAATGCATTAAGAAGAAGCATAAACGCTAACGACATTGTGTTGCTTCCGTCCGTGACCTGTAGTGATGTGCCTCTCGACCCGCGCGCAAACACATTCACAATAAAAGACCCAAAATATTGACATTTTTACACCAGCGCCGGGAGGAGTCGCTTTAGAACGCAACTGGTGCAACTGGTAACAAGTGTTACACCCACTTTTATTCGATCGCGACGTACACCACACACACTTTCGCCTCGTCATCCTCCCCTGCTCCGACTCAAATTATACCCGGCGGAATTTGTAACAGGTTCGCCGACTAATAAACTTGAGCCACGCAGAACGGAAAGGGAGGGGGGG